GGGTTGGGCTGTGGGTATTGGGCCTGGGACGGGTTCGGGTAGTGGGTTGGGTTTGGGTATTGGGCCACATGGGCCTGGGCTGGGTAAGGGGAATATGGGCGTGGGCCTAGTAGGCCGGGTGAGGGGGTAGGGAACTGCCAGGGATTTGGGCTTCCGGGTTGTCGTTGATTCGGGCCGCTACGTCCACGTCCACGTCCACGCCCTCGATAGCCACTAGAGTTGCCCCGATTGGAACTACCGAAACTGCCCCGCCCTGAGGATTGTCCGCTACTGCCCTGCCGTGACGGACCCCCGCCCGCCGAGGGACTGCCGCCGCCGCCGCTGAAGCTGAGGAGGGCGGTGGACGGGCCGGCGTTGGAGAGGGCGTCGGCCTGCTGTTGTTCGACCAAGAGAAGGGCAGATCGGACCTCCAGGAATGACGGCAACGGGTTTTGATACTGCAAAAAGTGAACCTGGCCTCGGAGATCATGCGGCAAGCCTTGAAGAACTTGGAGAACAAGAGCATGTTCCGTCACCGGAGCATCCACGTCGTCAAGGTAGTCGGCGAGATTCTTGAGAGTATGACAATATTCATTTATTGTCTTTGTGCCTTTGACGGTGGTGCGGAAGCGATGCTCCAATTGCATCGCTCGAGCATGCTTGTTATCATGGAATAATTTGTAGATTGCCTTCCAAAGAGCGGAGGCGGTGGGGCTGTTGGCAAGGACGAGATCAGAGACCTCATCGGAGATGGTGGATAAGATCCATCCTTGAAGAAGAGCATCGAACTGGTACCACTCGGCATCGTCGGCCGATTTGGCGACGAGAGTGCCTTCGAGATATCCCAGGAGATTGAAACGGAGCACGAGGAGGCGAAAGAGACGACTCCACTTTTTGTAGTTTGGCTCCGAGATGCTAAGTTGAACAGGAATATGGAGTTTAATGTTGGAGATTGTCCTAAAGGCAAGGTGGGGAGATTTGAGGGTGTTGGTGTTGTCGGAGGAGACAGAGGAGACTTCGGCCATGGTGAATTTTGGAGAGAAAAGGAGAAGGCCGAGAGAGAGAGGCGATGATCGGCAGTAAGAGATCGCCGAGAAGAGAGAGAGAGCCGAAGAACAGGAGAGAGAGCCGTGAGAAGATTAAGGCTCTGATACGATGAAGAATTTATATATTCCAATAATAATAATGTGTAGATACAAGGGAGAATATATAGTAGAGTATTCCTAGTTATATTAGGAAACCTACTATGTTAGGAATCCTTAACTAATAAGGACTATACATGTATGGAAACTACAATATATACAAAGATACTAAATATATACTTAATATATTTAACATCCACCTCAACCATAGACCAAGAAGGATTAGAATTCTTCCTCCAAGCTCTATCCTTTTTCTTCTTCTACATAAACTTGATCTTTAACTCTAAATAAAAAACTACAAATAAGTCTAAATAAATATATTTGTTTGTCAATAAAATATTGCCAACACAATTAGGACCACCAAATCACTCTTCCTACCAAACACTATTGTCTTCACAATTCATTTAGTAAAAACGTAAAGCGCCTTAAGTCAAAGTGTTAAGATGATATAAAGACGGAAAGAGTAATAAAACAACAATGTATTATAATAACAACAATCAATGTGTTACAGAGAGTACTACTTTAGTTCTATATCTATTTATTTTTTTATTGTTCTATATATTTCTTCAACTTTCCTTAATGTGAAACGCTCTTCACCCTTTCCACAACTAAAAATCTATTTTATCCTTACTCTTTTTTCATTATTCACCTTTCTTTACATTTCCTTTCATTTTTATTGCACCATCAAGGGTAAAAATAGAAAATCAAATAAACCATCATCTCACATTAAAAAATCTATCAAGTCAAAATAAATAGAAAGATATGAAATGGCAGGAATACTTGCTAAATACTCGTATATGAGTACGATATCCGTACCGTAAATGACTAAAATCACACTCAACTCAAATTTGATCTTTACCCATTTATATATAGTACATATTAATATCTACTTAAATAAAGAATGCTATAAGTTATTGAATTATTGGTAGTACGGAGTAGTATTTAGTAAAACTCAATTAAGCAGTGAAGCTTTATCAGACTAGGGAAAGAGTGTATGCCATGAATACGTAGCAAAGAAAATAACTTGTGGGTTGTTCGGCTAGATCATAAACAAATTACATACACTCCCCTCTCTAAAAGTCCCAAGTCTAAGGATCCGTTTGGTACAAAAAGTTCAAGCTACGGAACTAGAATTGAGATTTTAATTTCAATTCTGCTGAAACTACGTGGATATGGAGTTTGTTGTGTGAAAAATGAACTAGAATTGGAAAATTCAATTCCATCCAATTTAATGCTATAAAAATTTAATTCTAATTTAATTCTAATTTCGTTAATTTCGTGTACCAAACAGATCCTAAAAGTGTAGCTTAGATTATCATGGTCTTGTTTGGGAACAACATTTTCGATTAGCGTTAGCGTTTTGGATATAATTTTAATGGTGTAGATTAATTCTGAAAACGCTAACGCTAAAAGCTACCGTTGGATAACCTTTTCAAAACGCTAACGCTAATCTCTAACGCTGATGCCAAACGGGCCCCATGTCAAAACTTTGATATGTTCAATAGCACTTATTTTCAATATTCAAATCAGATTCGTTTATTCAGTACTGCTTATTTTTTATTTTTTATTTGAAAGAATCCTGCTTAATTAGTTCAAACCAAATTACAATGAATTCGTACTACTCAATCCGTTTAAAGAATGTTTCGGTTTGCCTTTTAAAAAAAAAGCCTAGACTTAACACTAAAGACACCAGACCCCTAATTTAAGACTCCAAACTCCAGCAAAAAAAGTAAGTCCCAAGTATGCACCACTTGTAAACTCTTATGACCAAGAGAGCAATTTATCAATAACTAAAACTATCCCATTCATGGAACAACAGAAGAAGAATAAGAAGAAAAAAGGTACAGATGAAACCAAAGAACCTCAGCTTCTCAATTTTGTAGTCTATGTATAATACCAGTCCAGAGTACCAGAAGTCTGAATTTGTTTGTGTACAGGCGAAATGCACTCCAAATTGCGAAGAGCCAATCGCCACATATCAAACTTGAATTACAGCAATTGTGTCGTTTAAAGTGATCTTAATCACTCTCAATCATACATCCCATCTTGCTCCCAAATATCTACAAGAAAATCTACCATTTCCTGCCAGTTTGAAAAACATATAAATGTTCAAAGCAGGTCGCTCCTAGAATATATTATACTCCATCCGTCACAAAATTTTCTTCCTAATTTCACCCCGCACATTCATCAAGAAAAAGAAATTATGTCGATGTGGAAAAGATCAAATGAATGCCTACAACACAAATCTTACGAGAAAATGAGAATAAAATTCCCAGACATCCGGAAGAAAATTTATGTACTCCATCCGTCCCTAAAGAATCTTCCTATATATATGTGCAAATGAAGTTTTATAAAACAAGAGATGACATTACTATTTTATTTTATCTAATGAACAATGGTATAGTTTGATCTTGTGAATAGAAAATGGGATGATTAAAAAGAGAAAGAGGGAGTAGAAGAAAAGGCCTCCAACTAGACACACATATAAGAAACTTACGCCAAGGGGAATAGGATTGGTGAAGGGTTTGTTGCTTCCAAGCAAACTATCATATGTTGCATTCCAGCTGCACATAAAAACTTTCTTAGGAATTTGCATCTCGTTACACCATTAATAAAGGATAAGAGGTTTGCGAGAATGTCAATAACGCAAACATTTTCAACTCTCAAGAGAATTCTCTAGGGCCGCTAGTCAGGGATTGTAACACAATATGCACCCACACTATCATGAGAATCATTGTTTGAAATAAAAATCGAAAAGACAACTTGACTTTAGTAAAGGTAGTGGTTGAAATTCATAGTTCAACAATGCATTAGCTTAGCACTCACAGGAAACACACAGGTTTCACCGTAATAGAGATTGAATATTGGATCCGAATGCAATTAAATTAAGACCAGGCAGATGCAAAGGCAGAGATCCCAATATATGGAGAAAAAAAGGTGCAGTTTATATAGCGTGTTATGTTTACCATAATTAACAGGAAGGAAACTGTCACAAACTGACAAACATTTCAAGTTTTTTTTCCTTCTCTTAGCACCATGCACACCAACTTTCGTACACAGTCCACATACAAACTAGTATCAATTTATCATAAGGAATTCAAGTAACACGCACAGGATAAAAATCCATGCCACTCCTTTCTCTCAACTCCCGTCAGAAAAGAACATCCAATCCATTGGATTGCATGAACTTGCTGACACAAGCTGTGAGCCTGTGAGCAAGGAGGAACATGACCACTGCTGAAAACAGAAACACCCATTCCATAAAGACACACATCTTACCTTAATTTGGGCTCTGGCGGCTGCAGTGACTGATTTGGAGGTTTTTTACTTCCTACCCAATGCTGTCTAATTTGGTTCCATAGAATTAGTCCTGAGGGTAAGAAACATTCCATACAATAACTCAACTGTAACACCTGAGGTTAACATGAAATATAACAAAATTGGCAACCCAGGCACGCCTAAAATACAGCATCTTACTAGACTCGGGCCAATGATGCACTTAATAGAATATGGATCCAGAGATAGTATTTAGGAAACTGCCCTGAATTAAACAAGGCACTCACCCCCGCACGCACGCATGCACACATGATCATATCCAAAAGCAACTATACGTGCACAACCGTTTAACAATGACAATCCCTTCGGGTGGTGGGTAAGAAGGCAAGTAGGCAATTTAAAGGCATGTGAGTCCATGAGGCCCGAGAATAAGATTTACCATGATTTACAAATTCAGAAGGGGTATTTGTACTTCCATTGACGTGAGGATCAAGTGCTTGGGTTGATGTACTAATGGAGGATATGCTTCCTCGTGAGTGAACGGCATTCACATCCATATCCCGTGTGCTCGTGGTCCAGAAATCCTCGGATATGCTAGGCACTGGAGCCTTGTGATCCTTAGTTCTTTGCCTTCTTGGTGGATTGTTGAAGGATGAAATCAATTGTGCCTTGTTATCACATCCAAGACAATTACTGCTCTGTTACGAATGGGATGGGTTTCTGTAAGAATCTACTTTATTACGCATAGAAATTGCATTGATAGTAACATCGTCATCATTCATCATTCTCAACACCTTAATCCTAACTACTATGGGTCGGTGGCATTAAATTTAGATTGCCAATTAACAATATGAGATAAGTAACATATAAATGCATGCAGAAAAAGTGGGAATACTATATATTCATGCAGAAAAAATGGCAATACTATAAATTCATGCAGAAAAGGTGGCAATCTTTTACACAATTATGCTGGATGCCCCTTTTGTCAAAACCTTAATAAGGAATGAAATGAAAACTCTAAAACCGCTATCATCATGTTCACACAATAGAAAATCAACACTTACATTAAGATAACTGCAGTCCATATCATTCATATAACTTGGCATACTAAGGAATAAAATGCATATGTATATACACCCTCTGTCCCCGAAACAAAGTTGGACACTAGCACTATGACTTCAGGAAGTTCAAGAAAAGTTTTGAAAATGTGGAAAAGTGTTTAAAAATGAAAAATGTACTATTTAGAAGAATGAAAAACGATACCAGCCGTTAATTTGTTTCTTTAATAGGAAATAAAGAAGTGTCAACTTTATTTTGGGTCAAACAAGAAAATGAATTATCACAGATATTCATAATTACAATGATATCTTATGCAACATCTTGTTTCACTTAGATTAATAATTATTGGTCTGGTGAACATAGTGCACACAAACATGAGTGTGTTTCTATCCTACAATTTGAGTGGGATATAAGTAGTAAAGCCCCTACCTTATTTTTTAAATAGAGAAATCCCAGTCACAATGATTGAGACCAAGAATACTAGAGCAGACAAATATAAATTTATTTAAAATCAAAATAAAATAGAAAACCATTGTGACAAACAGGCCCTAATCCCTTCTCCCAGTCTCCCAGGAAACCTGGATGATTTGGGGGGTCCCATTGGTAAACCTGTAGCAATACAATTGGCCATGGTGACCTGTCGCCTCTCACATCCGGTGGAACTTCTCACTTCTCAGCACACCACACCTTTCTTTCTAATGCGACAAAAAACTAATCGCGCTGCAATTACACTCAAACCCAACCA